AGTATTAAATATTAATTATATTTCTGTATTCAAATTGTTTGGAATTAAAGTAAAATAAACAATAACATGTATAACCGCATAAAAATATGTAGGGATAAATTTAGCAGAAAATGTACAAGATTTCCCACACTGAAAGCAATGAAACATCGCAGAAAGAAATTTTATAGACTAAAATAAATGGGAGAGCTATACTATGTTCATAGTTGAAAAAGTTCAAAATAGTCAACTCACAGACTGGGAAAACTACTTGCTGTACAAATAGCTGACAAAAGACTCATGTATAGAATGTATATATATACACACAGTAAGTCCCATTTAATGTCCTCATCCATAGGTTATTGGAAACTGCAACTTTAAATGAAACAGCATACTGTTTGCATAAGAATTTATTAATACCTCTTGTTTATATCGATTAGCCTATTGTGAAATTGATTTTGTTATACAGCAAGAAGGAATTCTGCCAGCAGTCAGACTTGGTCTTAGGACTTGAGCTGCAATGTTATTAGGTCATTAAATATGAAATGTCCAATTTCAAATCAAAAGTTTAGTTTATTATATCTCAAACAAGAAGAAGTACAAATAATCAAAGTATATACCTAAATTATTGACACAGTTTTGCCATCTTAACAGTACCTTGTTTATGCCAGCAGTGAAGATGCCTGGAGAGCGAATGGCGATGCAATCGCAAAAGTATTTTCCATACCTTATTGAGAATTGAATATTTTTCCTTGCAAGAAGTGGTCCAAAGTCTGGAAGAAGCGGTAGTCAGTTGGTGCAAGGTCTGGTGAATACGGTAGATGACAGACAGTTTCCAAGTCTAGCTGCCAAAGTTTGACCAGTGTTGTTTGTGCAACATATGGTCGTGCGTTATCTTGCAAGAGGATTGTCTCTATTAACCAACCAATCTTGGCTGCTTAATCCTCATCATCGTTCAATTGATTGCAGTAGACATCTGCTGTAATTGATTGATCAAGTTTCATGAAACTGTAGTGGATAATACCAGCACGGGACCACCAAACAGACACCATGAGATTTTTTTGATGAATATTCAGTTTTGCACTGTGTTTCGGCACTTCGTCTTTATCCACCCATGGTACTGAATGCTTGTGATTGTCAAAAAGAATCCATTTTTCATCTCATGTAACAGTACAGCATAGAAATGGTTTGTCTTTATGTTGTGACAGTGAAGAAAGGCAAGCTTTGAGACAATTTCTCTTCTGACACTTGTTTGATTTATGCAGAACCCATCTATCCAGCTTCTTTACCTTGTGTGTTTGTTCAAATGGTCCAATTTTGTTGAACTACTAATATCAAACCTTGTTGCTAATTCTCATCTAGGTTGAGATGGATTCACTTCTACTACAGCTTTCAGCTGGTCTTATCCACCTTGGTCTCAGGTCACCCACATGGCTCATTTTCAAGATTAAAATCACCAGAACAGAACTTCTCAAATCATCAAGGTACTATGCATTCATTAGCCACATCCTTCCCAAACACTTCCTTGATATTTTGAGTTGTCTGCATTGCATTGGTTCCACAATGCAACTCATATTCTAAAATAACACAAGTTTTTGACTTATCCATGGTTTCACAAAAATTGCTCTAAAAAATTTGACAGATAATCACAAGCCAAAATGTGTGTTTGCAAGACTGAGGATGTACCTTCACAATAAAAATGAAACAAGAAGTGTCAAAGTGACATGTCAGAGATATCAACTGTCAAACTGAGTACTTAGGGAAATCGGATATTTCATACTTAATAACCTAATAGCTCTTCCCTTGGTCTTCAGCCTACCCTGCAGAGTTCAGACTTGCCCTACAGTTGTATGATTCAATTCCTTCAAACTAAATCTCTCTCTCTCTCTCTCTCCACACACACACACACACACACACACACACACATTCTAATGGCACTGTTTACCTAGAGAACCCTAAAACAACTATTGCACTGAAAATCTTCACATTTTATTATAACTGAGAAAAAGAGGGGCATTGAGGGTGTACCAGGAGAAGTATATCTTTCTGACTTTCAGATATGAACAAGAAGGCATATTGCCCTAGATTCTGCTGGTGTTTATTTTTGTTGTTGTTGTTGTTGTTTGTTTTGTTGAGACAGAGTCTCACTCTGTTGCCCAGGCTAGAGTGCTGTGGTGTCAACCTAGCTCACAGCAACCTCAAACTCATGGGCTCAAGCGATCCTACTGCCTCAGCCTCCCGAGTAGCTGGGACTACGGCATGTGCCACCATGCCCAGCTAATGTTTTCTATATATTTTTAGTTGGCCGATTAATTTCTTCCTATTTATAGTAGAGACCGGGTCTCACTCTTGCTCTGGCTGGTTTTGAACTCCTGACCTTGAGCGATCCACCCGCCTCCCAGAGTGCTAGGATTACAGCCCTGAGGAGCAGTCTTAAGAGAAAGCCAACCTGTGGAAAACAGATGTGAGAAGGAAATAACCTAACTCTGGATGATACTGGATTTCCGGAGTCAAGTTGCCCAAGCTCTCAACATACTGATAGGTGAGCTGATAACTTTGCTTATATTTTGAAGTGGGCATTTATCTTTTCCTTTAGTCGACCAGCATACAACCTACTTCCTATGTTGGGATTCCCCCACCTTACAAGCCAGAGCCCACTTTTCACCAGAGTGATAGAAAATGTTGGATTCTCACCTTCTTATCTTACCTTGAAGCAAGGGTGTGACACGACCTAAGCATAAATACACACGAAACAGAAGCTAGTGAGGAATTATGAAGCTTCCTGAAGTATGAAGCAGAAGCAGGTGCTGAGCAAATTCTGTTCTGGGGGTTTTGGCCAGTGACCCCGTATTCAGTTTCTAGAAACAGCAGTATCATTGGTTTTAGGTAGGAGCAGCGTCTGATGTCTAGTGTAGGTAGTACCTGTGGCACACCTCTGATGTGTGTGTCCTGTGGTGGCTGCAGTTACAGTGCTACCAGAATGACTTTGTGGACACATTTTGGCTTTTCTGGATTTGACAGTGCCAAGTCTAACTTTCCAACAACTTTAATTTCCACAAACCTCAACTCCCTAATATCCTTTTGAAAAAAGCGCTTTTTCTATTTCTATTTGTCTGAATTGGTTTCAGTTGCTTGGAGTTAAAATACCACTTGACATTTTGTTGAAGCTATCTTCAGTAGTGCTCTCTGTTAACTAGAGCTAAATGTATTTAAATGATTCCCAGTCCTAGGCTCTATCAGTTATTTATTGCCACAATAATGCTCTGAGGCCAACAACTCAGTAGATTCAAACAATTATGTATTCTTGTCTGTGGGTTGCCTGGCTGATCTAGGTTGTGTTCGGCTCACCTTGGCTGCAAAATGTAGATCGGGTCTAGTTCAGCTCCATTTATCTCTCATCCTCCTCAGACTACCCAGTTTGTCTTCTCATGAAAATAACAGAGTTGGGAAAAACCAACTGTGCAATTTTAATCAAGCCTTCTCTTGTTAGGTCCACTAGTATCCCAATAGCCAAACCACATGAATAAGCCCAACATCAGTGAAACGGGGAAATACACTTTCTATATTCACTACGTGATGAACATGACAAAGGGTATGAATAGATAGAGGGATGAAGAATTGGGAACAATAATGAAATATACCACCTCAACTTATACTGGCTCCACCCTTATACCTCCCCAAACAAAAAACAGTGTTAGCTAATAGCTGCTGGTGGTATAACTGCTTCGTAGCTATGGAAGTCTTACCACAAGAGGTCTTGGATACAACTGCCTTCAGATAAAAAAAAATGAATCCCTTATTACCTTTGAATAATCAGGCAATGATAGAATCATAAAATAATTGGACTTTCAGTCATCTTAAATACACTCTAGTAAATATTATGGGGTGATTAATAAGAAAACTAAAGTACCAAAAGGTAAGTGACCTCCTCAGGGTTGTAGAGCTACGAAATGGCAGAGCAACTAAAATTCACATCAATTTCCTTCTGGGTAAATGCCTCGAACCCTTAGCTATTTACCCACATTATATTTAAAAGTTTATTGTATTTCTCAAAAAGCTTATTGTATTTCTCAAACCATTTAGTGCTCCTCCTCCATATCACACTAGATATAAATTTACATGTGTGTTTGGGAACTTCTGCCTGTCCACCCACAATCGATGGCTGCTGGTTCAGGCTAGAAATCTCATGGGTATTGGGACAACTGAGTTCCCAGAGTAACGATTGCAAACTGTTGCCAGGTGAGTACTCTTAAGTGACACAAGTTATCTGTCCCCTATTTACAAATGCTTTGAAGATTATAGCCCTTATAATTAAATCCTTACATGCAAAATACATTTTTAAAAATCTTTACAGATCTTCCCAGGGCACTAGTGGTAGCAATAGCTTCTGTTTTCCCCTCCAATTAAAGGCAGCGTTGGTACCTAATAGCTGGGAGATCTGGGGCTGAGTCCTGAATCTGTGACCCTGGGCAAAGCAAATTAACTTATGGGAGCCTCCTTTTCCTAGTCTGTGAAAGAGGGATGGTAACAATGAGATGCTGTGATGGGGTTAATATATTGGAAAACATCCATGTGTTTTTCTCCTTTGCCTTTCTGAGTGTGCCAACTGCTTCCTTCCTCTTCAGCCTGACCCACAAGTATATTACCTTGGAAGGGGTGGGGTAGGGGAAGGAGATTAGAATTTGTGTCAGAAGGTTTGCAAAGAGAAAGAAGGAATCAACATTTAGATTCTGGCATTCAGAACAGGGTTATGCAGCAAGACAATTGCTCTGAGAGTGTATTTCTCCTTTCCTTCATCCACTCCCACCCCAGCCCTCTTCCCACACCTCAAGGTGTTTTTATCACAGTAGCATGAGAAAAACCAAGTCTGGAAATGCAAGGCTAAAATGAAAGGCTAACAATTCTCTCATCACTTAGAAAATGGGAGTTGTGCCTATGGCAGCTGTGTTTTGGCAATGGACAACTAGGGGAGGGACAGACACAGATGTGGGCTGGCCCCAGGTTTCTAGCACTCCCTGGGAGACTGTCCTGGAGTTAGTTAGGTTTCATTTTCCTGTGAACGACAAAAGGATATAAGAAGGGCTCCAGTAAACAGCTGCCTGGCTAAAATGGGACAGGCAGAGCCCAGGATAATGGCTGGGACTCAGGCCCTCGGGAATTCCAGTGCCGGGCAGACCTGCACGCTGATCCTGGTCTTCACCGTGCTCCTGCATGTCCTCTGTGGGGCTGTGACTTACATGTACTTGACAAACCAGCTGAAGCAGGTCAGTGCAATGCCTGCAGTCCCAGGTTAGCTGCCTCTCCTTTGCCTCTCTGCTTGCTCTTCTCTGAAAACTTTACTGTGGAAGAAAATGCTCCCTTTCTCTGTCAGGAGGTTCTAACTGCTAATGCATATAATTAATGAGGCTTTTACAAAGGATTGTGTGAACCAAGTGCTGTTACTAGCAGGTGCAGGCAACAAAATTCCAGAGGATTTTTGTTTGTTTGTTTTTAAAAGTATATGCATTTTATAATACTATTAATTGTAATCATTCATGACTGCTTTCTGCTAAATGCTTTATAATTCTTGATTCATGAGTACTTCGGAGTGAGGGTAGCTGCATCAGGACAGAAGGTGTGTCTGCTTTTGCTCACCTCTGAGGTCTAGCATACAGCTCCCAAGTGGCCACTGATACTTAATACTTGTTGTTCACTAAATACTTGGGTTCACTAAATATTTAGGTTCACTAAATACTTGTTGAATTAATGAACAGCCTTCACAAATGTGGTAAGAACTACTAATATGTAGGCAGCAACGGTAGAGTTGGGGCTCAACCCAAAGCCAGGCTCTAAACCACTGAACACTGTGGTCTTGTGTTTCAGGTGTAGCTAATCCCAGTGGACAGAAGTTACAAAAGATCGAGAGTCCCGCCCTGCATAGACAGCAACGCCCTTTCGGGACTGTTTGCTTATCCTCAGACTTCAGGGCTATTAACCAATGCATCTCGCTCCCACACCTTTTAAATATATATATATACATATATATATACATATATATATATTAAATTTTTAGGTAGAAAGCCTTCACATAGACAAGTCAGACTTTCAAAAGTTTTGGAGGTAGAATAATGTGCATGTGAACAAAATCAGAACCAAGCTTTGGAATACCCGGTTTCCTTTTCCTCCAAAACTGAACATAGGGTGGAGGTAAATCAGGTCTCCCAAATGTTTCAGTTTAAGATCTGCAGCACTCCTGTGTTGGAAATAAGAGAAAATGCAAAGGCTTGACATTCTGCCTATTTCCTGAACACAGGCATGTCATGGGTAGTATTTGTAATAAAGAAGTTATTAGCTAGATTCAGCATTTTACTGATCATGATAAAATAACTGAAAATAAAACTGCACTTTATACCCATGAACATTCAGTTATAAATCCTGGTATGTCTGACAATAAAAAAAAAAAACCAAAAACTTAGTGCCATTTAAATTTATGATTTTCTCAATAAAAAGTTTTGGAACTATGAATGTAAAATTGCTAAAAATAAAACAACTCAACTTTTGGCTTCTAATATATATTTTTACTAATTGCATATTATATAGTACAGAATTACAAACTGGAAGGAATTTTGGACACCCCCCCCCTATTTTAGAGATGAGGAAACTATAAATGACTTACTGAACCTAAGACATGGCTTTGGAGGCAGAGATGGGGCTAGCATCTGCTCTGTGGGCACCTAGGTAACCCTCCTTCCTCCACAGCAAGGTGCCTATAATATTTATGTCCTGCATATCTGCTCCTCATGATGCACAGCGTATCCTGCAATAGCAACTAAAAAATGCAAGGCTAAGCAGTTCAGAAAAATATAAATTGTGCAAAAACCATAGAGTGTTAATTATCTGTTAAGAAAATACTGTTTGTATACCCTGTAGAGTGTAAATTTGGTTATTTCAATCAGTTAGAAATTTTTCTTTTGGAAATAGATGAAGTAGACTCTTCTTTCATTTGCAAGTTATTATGAAAATTATGGCTACCATTATATGACTAGGAAAGTCATCTTTATTGTGGGGCACATTTAGAAGAGTCTGTATCTCTATAAGGAAAAAAGTCCACATAAATATAATCATGCCTTAAGTTCTAAGTCTATGTGAGAGACTGGAATATTGCTAGGTTTACCAATTTGGAGCCAGCATGTCCTAACCTTTGGTAACTTTGCAGCATAAACAGAGTGAAGCCATTTTGCCATAAACAAGTGGCTCCATCTATGTGCACACATTACAAATTGGTTTAATTTTTAGAATGAATAAACTGGTTCTTTACTGAGCAGACTCATGCAGTTGTCGATATATGTAATCAAGTTTCTTTTTTAAATTAAATGAAAATTTCAAATAAAGTTTAACTTCTCCCACTTGCAACATTTTTCTTAATTATATATTTACATATGTATACATACATGTATGAGCATGCAGAAGAGAGTGCTAGAAAGGGAGGAGAATTAGCAGATATTGAATAATTCCTATGTGCCAGAAACTTTGAAAAGTATCACCCTGTTTCATTTTCATAACAATTCTATAGAGGCAATACAATTACCTCATTTTATGACTGAACAAAGGCTCAAGAAATTTAAGTGGTTTGTTCAAGATTACAAAACTAGTAAAAGGAAAAGCTTAATTTTTTTTTGCTTTTTATAATTTATTTTTTTCACCATATTATGGGGGTACATATGTTAAGGTTATGTATATTGCCCTCCCCCCCCAATCAGAGCTTCAAGCATGTCCGTCTCCCAGTTGGTGCGCACTGCACTCATTATTTATGTATATACTCATCCCCTCCCCCCCCACCTACCCGAACCTGATAGATGTTATTCCTATATGTCCACTTAGGTGTTGATCAATTAATACCAATTTGCTGGTGAGTGCATATGGTGCTTATTTTTCCATTCTTGAGATACTTCACTTAATAGACTGGGTTCCAGCTCTATCCAGGACAATACAAGAGGTAATAGAATGGGTTCCAGCTCTATCCAGGAAAATACAAGAGGTGCTATATCACCTTTGTTTCTTATAGCTGAATGGTACTCCATGGTATACATATACCACATTTTATTAATCCATTCATGGATTGATGGGCACTTGGGTTGTTTCCACATCTTTGCAATTGTGAATTGTGCTGCTATAAACATTCGAGTGCAGGTGTCTTTTTCATAGAGTGACTTTTGTTCTTTTGGGTAGATGCCCAGTAATGGGATTGCTGGATCAAATGGTAGATCCACTTGTATCACTTTAAGGTATCTCCATATTGCTTTCCACAGAAGTTGAACTAGTTTGTGATCTCACCAGCAATGTAGGAGGGTTCCTATCTCTCCACATCCACGCCAACATTTCCATTTGTATCACTTTAAGGTATCTCCATGTTGCTTTCCACAGAGGTTGAACTAGTTTGCAGTCCCACCAGCAGTGTAGGAGTGTCCCTATCTCTCCGCATCCATGCCGACATCTGTTTTTTTTTTTTTGGACTTGCTAATAAAGGCCATTCTCACTGGATATAAGTAATATATATATTACTTATATATATAAGTATATATATATTACTTATATAAGTATATATATATATATATAAGTATATGGTTTGTGGTTTTGATTTGCATTTCCCTGAGGATTAGAGATGTTGAGCATTTTTTCATATGTTTGCTGGCCATTATTCTGTCTTCTTTTGAAAAGTTTCTGTTCATGTCCTTTGCCCACTTTTGATAGGTTCGTTTGATTTTTCTTGCTGATTTTCCTGAGTTCTAAATAGATTCTAGTTATCAGCCCTTTATCGGATGTGTAGCATATGAACATTTTCTCCCATTCTGTGGGTTGTCTGTTTGCTCTGGTGACAGTTTCTTTGGCTGTGCAGAAGCTTTTTAATTTGATCAGGTCCCACTTATTTATTTCTGTTGATGCTGTGATTGCCTTTGGGGTCTTTTTCATAAATTCTTTGCCTAGGCCAATGTCTAAAAGAGTATTTCCAATGTTTTCTAGAATTCTAACAGTTTCACAACTAAGGTTCAAGTCTGTTACCCAGCATGAGTTGATTTTTGTGAGACATGAAAGGTGTGGGTCCTGTTTCAGTCTTATACATGTGGCTATCCAGTTTTCCCAGCACTATTTATTGAATAATGATTCTTTCCCCTGTGTATGTTTTTGTCTGCTTTGTCAAAGATTAGATGGCTATATGAGGATGGTTTTATATCTGGGTTCTCTGTTCTGTTCCACTGGTCAATGTCCGTGTTCTTGTGCCAGTCAAAAGCTGTTTTAATTACTACAGCCTTGTAGTATAGTTTGAAGTCTGGTAAATTGATACCTCCCAGTATGTTTTTATTGCCTAGGATTGGAAAAAGCTTGATTTTGAACCAAGGCAATAAGAAGGTGCTCGATAAATTGTAGCCATTCTAATTACTACTGAAAAGTCTCTTGAAGGTGTCACTTTCTTCTTCAGAAATTTTCCCAAGAGAAAATAAATCTGAATTTCCTTGGGTATCTGTGTAGAGTTTAGAAAAACATATTTGACATACATATTAACTTTCTAAACAATTTCCATTTTGGTGATAAAAACTTGCAAAAGGTATAGTAAGCTAGGATTGTAGGGAGTAGACATTAAGGAAGGCTCCATAACATTGGATTGGACTTTCACAAATAAGCCTATAGACCACCAAACACAAACAATAAATATGGGCTGAGTCTCTGAAGTCTGTGTCTCTCTGAGTTAGTTTTTTGACAAGGGAATGGCCTATCACTGTTGCATCATAAATGGGGAGGCAAAAGAGAAGGTGACTCCTCTTCACATATCTCCATAAGTGATCCTTTATACTACTTATGGTTTGCAGAAAATGATTGTCAGAGACTGATGCCTATGCAGCAGAGAAGGTCAGTGCTACCATATTGCAGTCTCTGAGTCAGCAAGGGAGTCTACGCAGCAGAGAAGGTCAGTGCTACCATATTGCAGTCTCTGAGTCAGCAAGGGAGTCTACGCTGCTGACCTCTAGCTCGGTCAAGGGCTGGTTGTCCCTGGCCTAGACAACTGCCATATTTGAGACAGCACTAAAAGCACTAACCATGAAAGTCCACTTTTCAGAACTGAGGGCGTCTGGAGCTAAAGAACAGGCACCGAGTGCAAGAGCTGTCCTTCCTTTCAGAGGCATGCAAACAAAAATAGTGCACACACAATTCCTGCCCCCCCCCACAGATGTGGTTAGCTAAGGAATAAGTAGCCCCAGGCTATAATGTGCTGCAGGGAACTCATGCTCTGAAGTGAAAGGATGTGGAAAAGATGGGAAAAGAGGCAGGGAGAGAGACATAGCACGTTAATCATCATTAATCACTCTTGGAATAACCGCTGCACCCCACAACCTGCCATGTGTCTAGACACCAGAATTGACCAAGGTCTGTAGAAGAAACTTACCAAATATGATAATATAAGAAATGTGTGAGGACATGAAAGGCAGTTGGGGCTTTCTCTCTGGGTTTTTAATTGTTCAGAAATCAATGTTTATTCCTAAAATTGTCTAAAAAGTAAAACATGAAAATTAAAATTGAGATCTCTAGATAGTAGGATTATGGGTGTCTTCTATCCCTTTTATTTTATAAATTTTTATTGTCTAAGTGTTACAAATTTTCCACAGTGAATGTCATTAAAATACCTATGCTAACCATACATGATTTTCACACAGATTTAAAGAACATGACATGTTTATATAGTCTTATTAGAAAACAACTACATACAAATTGCACACACACAGTCTGATGTCAACCCTGTCAAGGGAGATCATCCAAAGGTTAACTGTGCAGTGGGATTATGAGTGCGTTAGTGGTTGTTTTGGGTTTTGTTTTTTTACTTTGTTTTGGCAAAGTGTCCTTTACTTTTCCATGTTTTCCAGGTTGCTTGTGTAGCCTGAATGTATCCCAGGTTTCTTAACTTTGGAGTAATCATAGAGCTATTAATACAGTAGCTTGTATGTTAATATAGTAGCTTGTCAATCTCCCACCCACATATACCCAGGACCTTACTCCATTTTCAAGGCTCCCTCTCCCACCTCCTGAGAGTGTTTCTGGAAAATCCCCGGAGAGTATCTATCGTAGGCACCAGCCAGCACTCGGTACTTACTTGGGTTGGCCCCTGCTGCTCCAGTGCCATCTCCACCCCTGTCAAACCCCACTGTCCCCAGGCAACTGTCGCTCTAGCTAGACTCCCATACTCTCAGCCCTGGCCTGCTGAGGCAGCTTCGAGCTGCAGTGAAGTCACCAGGGAGACTGCTCCTTCCCTCTGTGTCACAAATACCTTTTTGACCAAACAAGTTACAGAGGTTTGTGAGCCTGCTTCTTCAGTTTAACCAAAACAACCCCTGACAGGAGTAAACTTGTACTGTCTGGGCTGAGACAGGACCAAGGATAAACTTTCTCTTCCGGGAACCACCCTTTGGCCTTGAGGCTTTTTCCTCTCCCCCTTACTGATCCTGCCCCACAGTTTCCTGGCCAAGTTCTCCTATCTCTGAATCATATGTGGCTGGCTGCCTTCCTTGGAAAAGCTTTTCAGCTTCCAAGTAATTGGAATACAACTAGATGTCTGCAGTAGAAGCACACGGGCAGGCAGGGGCAAGGAACTGTGCCTAGGTCCACTGCCAGCCACATCTAGACTCCGGTGGCCTCAGCCTCACCCTCAACTACTAGGAGAAATTTTTTCTCTTGCAATTTAAAAGAGGAAGAAAGAAAATTAAAAATATATATATTTGTTTTAAAGTAAAGGAATGTTTTATGTCAGGGTGTGTGCGAGGAATATAATACATTAACTCAGGTTTGTACTTTTGCACTCGAAGGACCTTGATCAAATGTCTAAGGGTGACATGGCTGTGTACAGTACTATGTGACTGTGGCTGGAATCTCTCATAAACAGTTATTTTATTTGAAATGAGATTGTTTTTCTGTAGGAAAGAGTAGATCATCATTAAACTTGATTCCTCTCTCAAGCACTGCAGTACCCTAAATTCGAAGAATAGATAAAAATGGTCAGTTCCTCATTTGTTTCCCCCAGATAAAGACAACTCATATTTTTACAGGAAAATAACATGTCTTCAGTCCTAGATGGTAGAAAAGAAAAAAACCTTCTGGCTTTGTGCAGACATCCTGTTTTTCTTGAGTAATAAGACATCAGCCTAAACAGTTCTGCCTGGTTTGGGGAGTATGTGTGTATATTTATAACATTGAGCAAGGACTTGTTGACATGGGCTAAGACTGTTGATAATGATTTAACTATCATAAATGTTTACAGGGAGCAAACCTTCAAATGCTGTTTAAAGTCTCTGCAGATAAATCCCTAACTAGTATTGACGTTTAATGAGATACCATTCAGATTTCTGGGGGCAACATGTACAGATTCTGCTATTCAGAGAAGCAAAATTCAGGTCAATAACTAGAATCTACTCAGCCAGTCAAATCCCAGAACAAGGAACAGAATACTACCTTTCCGCAAAAGGTTTGCCTGATTTTTATTTAGAACAAAACAAAAAAAGAAATAAAAAACAAAATCCTGGAATTTATACAGACTCCACTGCCTACCTCGTATCTAGGTGGGTTTCTGGCTTCAGAATAGGATCCCCACCATGGCAGAGCTGGAAGGGACCTCAGACAGCACCACAGTGAACCTGCTCAAAACTTTAAGGAAGAACAGACACCGGAGAGGGGAAGTAACTTGTCAAGGGACATGCAGCTGTTTAGTGACATGGGCAGGAACGGGCACTGTGACCCAGACTGCCTGGCCCACATCTGTGTTCTTTCCATCATAACCAACTACTTACTTTTAGTCTTTTGCTTAAAGGACAAGGGACAGCATGCTTACTTTTATTTCAAGCATGCATGTGTCCAAGGTGCCAAAACTTCTCTGAATCTGTCATGAGTTTCTGTTGTTTTAACTTCCAGATGAACAAAAATTAAAAGCACCTGTGCATAACGTTATGTTATACCCATCTCAACCCAGATGCAGGAAAAGTACTACAACAGTGGCATTGCTTGTTTCCTAAGGGAAGATGACGGTTCTGGGGACCCCAATGATGAAGAGAATATAAACAGCCCCTGCTGGCAAGCCAAGTTTCAACTGCGTCACCTTGTTAGAAAGGTAAGTAACCTCACCAGCAGGCATAGAAGGCCAGAGGAGAAGAAAACTTTAAGATCATCACCTCTAGACTGCACATTTTGCAAATGAGGAAACTGAGGCCCAGAGTATTTAAGGGAATTTTTTCCAAATTCATAGAAGTAAGAAAAGATGGCTCAGAAGTCACCAAACAGCAGGTCCTGGCTGCCTCCTGGCCTCCAGTCATTTCTTGACCTCAGGCAGCTTCCTCAGCTAATCTAAGCTTTTAGATCACATTACAGAAACTGGCGCACACACAGGGCAATGTGCTCAAGGTCATACAGTAATAAACGGTGTGTGTGATTTTTATTTTCATTCAGAAGACAAAGGAGGCCAAATAATGATGTGATCTGATTTTTTTCTTTTTTTAACCTAGTGACATAGTCTCACTCTGTCACCCAGGCTGAAGAGTGGTAGCTCTATCATAGCTCACAGCAGCCTCAAACTCCTGGGCTCAAGCTACCTTCCTGCCTCAGCCTCCTGAGTAGCTGGAACTACATACATGTGCCATTATGCCCAGCTAATGTTTCAAAAAAATGTTTGTAGACATGGGGTCTAGCTATGTTGCCCAGGCTGGTATTAAACTCCTGACCTCAAACAATCCTCCCACCTTGACCTCTCAAAGTGCTGGGATTACAGGCATGAGCCACTGTGCCTGGCCATGATGTTTTATAATTTTCCTACAGTGCTGATATCTGAAATTCAATACATATTTATTTTTGTTTGCATATAAAGTTGAAGAAAGAGGAAAGGAAAAGGCAAGAAAGAAATACTTTGAGAAATTGAAGATGACGTCATCTAACGTTTGGGGGATGGTCACGCTTGAAGCTCTGACTCGAGGGGGGAGGGGGAGCATGGGCAATATACATAACCTTAACATTTGTACCCCCATAATATGCTGAAATAATAAAAAAAGTATCTGTTTATGGAAGTTGCTTAAATAGGATCTGTAGCAGAAACGTAATGTTTAGCTAACAGTTTATTTTACTAAACGTGGTTAACTAATTTTACTTTCAGCAATGTGACTTAGGTCAAATCAAATTTCTTTTCTTGGGCTACTTTTTTTTTGAGAGGGGATTTAATTAATAATATTTGCCCTCTGGCTACATGAAAATGTCAGATAAGGACATGGGTATAAAAATACACTGTAAACAATGAAGCACCATTTATACATAATAGTTTAAAAACCTGCTGGGGAATTCCCAGGGTAGGAGGAGGATGTGTGTTAGACATGTTTATAAGTCCATTTTTTGGTGCTCAGGATGAGTTTTTCTGTTGCAACAGTGTCATATTGGTGGGTTGGCAGTCGGTTTATAACCCTGAGCAGTCCTCAAAGTAGAGCCCAGGCATCGTCTGTGACGCTGTCTCTATGGGAAATGAAAGTGGAGTTCCACCTGGAAGGCCTAGAGGCACTCCTGCTCTGTGGCCGCCCTGGGGGCAAGCCCAGGCTGGGGCGCCCACTGCATACAAGCTGAGCAGCTGTGACCCCACATCTCCAAATGACAGTGACTGTTCAAGGGGTGAGGACCAGGAGAAGCCTAGACAGAGAAGGGTCTTGAGAAACCTGGGAAATGAAACTCCAAAATCTCTGAGGTCAGGGGGAGGAGGGGGCAGTGGCCCAGCAGGGGAGAGTGACCCCGGAACTAGGGTAGAAATCTGGAGATTGAGGAGGGAACTGGATGCTGAGGCAGGGGAGTGGGGAGATAAGAGTAGTGAGGACAGATTTTACTTATCTCTTTTCTGCTATTCTCCCTCTCCCTCCTATTCTCACATCCTACTACTAACTAGCATGGAGAGAAGAACACAGAGGAGGTGGATGAGAATGTGGGGAAAATAATTCTCTATTTTTTCAAGCATATTAATTGAACAGACTATTTCCAGTAAATATCCTATTCCCATTTCATACATTATCGCATTTAATCGTCATGACAACTCTGTGAGAAAGGAATCATTATTATTTCCATACATATATATATATTTTTTTTTGAGTCAGTCTCTCTCTGTCATCCAGTAGAGTATAGTGGTGTCGTCACAGCTTACAACAACCTCAAACTCCTGGGCTCAAGTGATCCTCCTATCTCAGCCTTCCAAGTAGCTGGGACTACAGGTGCGCACCACCACGCCTGGCTAATTTTTCCATTATTCTAGAGACAAAGGCTCTCTCTTGCTCAGGCTGGTCTCGAATTCCAGACTTCAAGTGCTAGGATTACAGGTATGAGTCACTGTGCCCAGCCTATATATTTTTAAATAGATGAAGAAATTGAAGTTCAGATGAGTTAAGTGCCTGAGCAAAGTCTCAGAGGGCTAGTAATTGAAAGATCTGAATCCAGGTCCTCTGACCATGCTTGTCATCACTTTTTTATTCCCACACAGTAGGAATGATCTTTCTCTCCTTCCTCTTGCTTCTCCTCCTTCCTTCTTTCCTTTTTGTCCCAGAATGAGAAAGAGAACAAGAATGAGAAAGAAAGCCACATACAGAGAAGGGAGAGAGAGAGAAAATGCTAAGGTTCCTCCTGCCTCCGCTTCTCCCACTCCAGCGACGCAGGACTAACTACAATCGGTCCCCCATCATCTGGGGTCAGGGCTTAAGGCAGAGGGAGAAGCCAGGAGCTTCTGGTTTGGGGTGGCAGCACAGAGGTGGTCTGTTTCTGGCAGTGCTGGGAAAGGAGAGCAGCGCTGGGCAAAGGCGGCAGGAGGGACAGAGCTGAATGGAGGGGTTTCCAAAGCCGGGAAGGAGCCAAGTCATGATCTGCCTGTTTAGTGGAAAGGCTCAGTTTTCCTACTGGTTTTCCCCATTGGCTAGCAGCAAGAGGGGGTTTTACTAGATATTTAGCATAGATATGGCAGCTTGGTAAAATATCTTCATGTTGAGAATGGCTCAGCCACATTCTCAGAAATGAGAAACTGACAAGGAGTTGCCAGCTCATACCTGATGGGCTGTGTATGATGTCTGTAGGCGTCATGGGAGGGGGGACGTGTGCCCTACATCTTGGGGCTTGAGTCTGCCCCTGGGCTCCATTCCGCAGAGCACGCACGCACACACACGCTCCCAACACAGAAAACACTGTGGCAAGACTGCCATATCCCTTGGCCACATGGACGCCTGGGTATGTCGGGCTGACCTAATGCGGCAGACGGCACCTGGCTTCTGTGCTGCTGTGGGTGTGGCCTTTCAAGGACTTCCTCCAGAAATGGAACCTGCCTGGAGCAGAGGACAACCCGTGATCACTGTGTAGGGTCAGCTATCTCAGTATTTACCCAGCTCCCACCACACCCGTACGAACGCTGTGCTTGACCAACTTAAAGCTTCCTTGATGAAATTGTATGTAGACATTTCCTGTTAGGTGTCAGCAAGAAGAGCCATAGGCATTATACGGTCAGTTTACATTTTTAGGGAAATTAACAAGCTTTATTCAATACTATTTGCAGATGATTTTGAAAACCTATGAGGAAACCATTCCTACAACTCAAGGTAGTATTTTTTGTTGTTGTTATTTAAACTTTCTGCTGTCAGTTCACAATAGGATACAGAGGCACTTCATTCTTCTCCTCTCTGCTCCCATCCATGCATTCCCCCTCTGACAAGCCACTTGTGGATTGTTTCCCTCTTTGCATTGGCAGCTAGAAAGCTCAGAACCAAATCTGTCCCCCATCTATAGTCAGAACTTTGTTTCAACTTAATCTTATTTTTCTCACATGAATTTTCCTTTCACTTCGATTTTTTCACAAATTATTTATTTTTTACCTTCTGATGTGTTATAAACAAATAAAAGTTACCCATCTTCTTTGCTTCTGACCACCACCAGGCTCTAGGCGTTGCTTTACACAAACACCCCTTGCTCCATGGACTCTTTCCCAGTGGTCTTTCCATCCACCTACAATCCTGAGCACCTACAGCCTGTGCTCTCCAAGCCACAGCACCTTCCCCATCCTGGTTGGCAGCCTTCTCTTGATCCACATCCTCCAGTACTGCGGCCCAGGCTGGCTCCCTCCGCCCTTTGGCTAGTGCCTCCTCATCCTTCACGGTCCACCTGATTGTCACCTCTTCAGAGAGCCCTTCCCTGGGCACCTTTCTGAGTAAGTTCCCCTGCACCCTGTTGCCTGCTGTTTCCATCACACTTGCCTTGTTCATTTCCCATTACTTACGTATGTATTTTTTTTATCCACGTGCCGTCTGCTTTCCTATTAGATTAAACATCCACAAAGACAAAAAACATGTCTCTTTCTTTTACCCTCTAAACCCAGCACCTAACCCTACGCTTCAAGCCTGGTCGGTTCTGTTCCCCACCACGCACGCCAGGCCCTTACTTACCTTACTCACCCCACCTTCAGTCTCTGCATGTATGTGTGTGTGTGTTTTTGTTGTTGAGGTAAAATTCACATATACAATGAATCCCTTTGAAATGCACAATTCAGTATAATTAGTGCATTCGCAATGTTGTGCCACTGCCACCTCTCTCTACCCAGAAAATTCTTAATATGTATTTTTAGAATGAATAAATGAATAAGTAAATTAAATGACTGAATTAAATTTGCTACTTCTTCACCTTTGGCTCACCGTATCCTCATCTTCCCATGCTACTGGCCATATTGGCCTGAATACAGACACCAGAGACTTACAGACCTGGGGCACTCCACCCAGGCAGAAAAGAAATAGTTTTTTAATATGTGTTGCTCACGACGTCTTCCGACTTTTACAGCTATCCTTTTCCAACACAATAAACTTCCTCATCACTTTACAACCCCCATTTTCCTTATCTCTTATACTTTGTACTCTCTTAAATATGAAGGACAAGACCTGGTTCTGGGGTCTAAGCATTCATTTCCCCAAAGGTAAAATCAGTAGTCAGAATGTGGAACATTCCACCCGTTCTGATGAGGCATACCAGATTCCTGTCTACAGTAGATGCATGTACTGTTTTCAGTTGTGGAAGAATAATATTCCTTTTATTCATTCTAATAAGGTGGAGAAATCATGTACTACTCTGTATACCAAGGTGTATTCATGACATCGAGATATACATATTTGCAAGTTTCTTTTCTGGGAGTTGTTTGATATAGCCAGTAGGAAATTTCCTCTCACTAAAATTTGCTTGCAAATCAAGGCTTTCCCGTTCATATTCTTGCGATGACCTAAATGCAAGATATTTATAATTGGATTCAGTTATTTAATGTTTAAAAGCAATGTTAAGGGTCAGGGGCAGGCAAAGCATTATGAATTATTTAACAGTGAAGGTTAGAGGTAAATGGACACATCAACCTTGAAAGCTGAGCATTCTGAGACTAATATGTAATTGGCTATTTGTCTCCATGCCACATTTGGTCTTTGGTGTCATATAAACGCCCACTCGTCCTGAATAAGTAGCAACAAATACCAGATAGATGGAAGAGATTCTCATTTCCCATTCATTCCTTTGGGAATTTTATCACCTCCTTTAGTTTCCTTTGCTACCATCCTAGACTAAAGCCCCCTGTTCTTAGTCCTGATCAATTATGATAGTCTGGCAACTCTCCTGCCAGCCTGCAGCCCTCTCACCCCCATCTGTCAAACCCTCCTGTGGCATAGGTTGGCTAAAGCACAATACTTACCTCTCCGCTTTCCTGAACAAAACCTTTCAGAATCTCCCCAGGACCTATAGAGTCCAAATCTCTGAGCCAAACGTTAGATCTTATAGTTTGGTTCCTCGTTCAAGCCTGAAGCTGAAATGGAATTCCTCCCTGGCCCGTGTCCAGGAATGCTTTGTGCGTTTTCCTTGGGCCTCTGCTCTAGCTCTTTGGGAAATCCTTTCTCCCATGCCTGCAGGCCCCAGGCCTGCCCACCCCTATCTTGTTCAGACATTTATCCTTGTACCTAAAACACTTTCTTGCATTTGCTTGTTTATAATTCTTTCTCCTCATCTCTAGAAGTCTGCCCAGCATATATGTTCTGGGCACGTTGGTTTGCTGGAGCAAGGGAATGAGAGAGCCTCAGCACCGTCTCCTCCACAAACCCTCCCTGACCTCAGCTCTCCCTGACCTCAGAGGAGGAATCTTTCCCTCCTCTGAACACTCATCACCCTTTATTTCCATTTCTCACAGATAAACGTTCACTTTCTAATTCATATCTTCCATAGAAGCCTGTACGACCATTGTGGTCTCAGTCAGTGGAATCAACGATTAATCTTTGTAGCCCTGTAGGAGGTAGTATATGCCTTGCAGTATATGCCTTGCACCTGGCAGTATTTGTTTGATTAAAGAATATAATTTATCTTAACAACCAATATAAGCACACTTGGGAATTTTAAGCTGATTTTTTAAAGAGAGTAGTTTGTTGAATTTGAATTGTTTTTTAGGCTTGCCCCAAAGTATGTTGGACGGTGGTCAGTAAATGTTATCTCTGTTTATTATGATCCCGTGAATCAGAAATTTATATGCTCATATACTGAATATCATGGCCAGCATGTATTCCTATCCCTTTTTTAGGGTGGGAGAGAGGTTGCAGGATGACTGTTGGATACCAGTTTGCAGCATTTATGGGCAGTTATTATTGCTACTCCATTAGAATCAGTAGTAGCCAGCAAAGAGGAAAAGATAATTGAGATGACAAAAATTGGCACCACTCAAATTGTTTCTACATATAACTCAAAGTGGAAATTTTCCAATACATGGTTATTTGCTCACTTTAAATCACTCATGAGGATTATTACAAGTCTGCAGTTATTCATTTACTTATTTACTTACTTAGAGGGAAAGGGGCCAGAAGTTTCACCTTGTTATGTTCTACTTGGACCTTGTCTGTGAAACACTGTTAAATTATAATCCAAGTTATTGCTTATCCTTCCCATCTAAAGTACTTTTCAAATTAAACATAAGCTGAAGTAGATTATCATTCTATAAAGTAGGCTATTTTTAATAAAAAACCCATAGAATCAACTTTGGAAGCCCAGTATGTTTACAATGCCTTGTTGACAACAGCTGTGAACAGCTACGTACTTGAGAACTAGTTTGATAAATGCTGATGATTGCTTGTCATTTCTCTTTTAGAAAGGCAACGATTTATTCCTGCCCCAGTAAGAGACAGCGGTTTTCCGAGAGTAGCAGCTCACATAACTGGGACCAGACGAAGAAGCAACACGTTCCCTCTTCCACGTAAGAGAAATAACAAACAAGTGACTTACAGGAAAACAATGGAAACATTGTTCTGAATTTTTTTAACTTTTACCTGAAATGTTTATATGGCTATCTACAAAATGCTCAGTAATAATCAGGTCTCGGATTGTTTTCAGAAGCAAAATTACAGACAAATAGCTCAGTGACTGCCGTGGCATAACTGGCCTCAGGAAAGTTACAAAGTGAGAGAACTTTATCTTTGAGGTTCCCGGCCTCCTGGTTTTGCTTTCTTCTTCTTCTTTAATTTTTCTCTCTCTTTCTCTTTTATGATTACTTATTCCATCATTTTTGCACTCTCCTTCTTGCACTTCCATCAAATCTTTGTTCTCTTCAAAAGTTCTAAATCATTTACTCTCACTATGAATCACTAGGCACTCCTAGTGGCATTTATAAGTTAAAGCATAGGAAATTGCCAATATTTGACCATTTTTCACTGACATAAATGTCTGTTTCATCTAGCTTAACAAAATATGTGCAGTCTAATTATTATCTAGGTAGAACACATGTCAATATAGTGCTGTAATGCTGTGTACGGGTCTTATAGTATAAATACCTAGGTTGCAATTCCAGCTGCTCCTCACCTAGATATATGTTCTCAGCAAATTTAACCCAATCAAGCTTAAGTGTCTTCATGTGCAAAGTAGAGATAATTCTTAATTCATAAAATGGTGAAAACCAACAGTAGCACATGCAAAATGTCTAGTCTATTGTAAGTACTCAATACAGTCACCATTATTATTATGAGAGGTTTTGTCTCAAGTTAAAAAAAATTCAGATATAAATAAATAGATTAAAAAGGATGTTTTAGGGGATTTCATTTGTTTGTTTTGTTTTCTAGGCAGTTGCCTTCCTGGTATGCCTGGTATTTATAAAACTCAAGTTTTATAAATTGACATTTATCAATGCCTACAAGTGTGATAATTATTATAATGTTAGTGTTTGCTATTTACCAACAAACATGATAGTTGGTTTAAGCTCTTGAAAAGCTAAATTTTGCACCAATCATGGAAATGAACCCAAAGTTAAAGGAATATCATATTTCGGTAGGGGCCTTTTTCCTTTAAAATCTCTACGTGTTAAGGATTCAGGGATCTGAGGATCTTTAAATCTGGGCTCCTTTGCCAAACCTCCTGCCTCTCTTATTTTGGACTACACATGCCTTCTGTTTTAGATGGTTCCTTTGACGAAGGAAAGCTGTGAAAGACCAGTGAGGGACCCAAAGAGTCACAAAGGAATGGCAAGAAGTCCAGAACTCTAGGCTTATGGAAGTGGAAGTAGTTACATTTCTTTTGGCTTCCTTCTAGATGATCCATTGGAGTTCACCAGCACAGGATGGGAGGAAGGGGTTCAGCACAGAAGTTCTACCCAGGAGTAAAGATTGCTGGCCACAACTGCTAGGAAATGCCTTGCTTTGCTACAAACTCCCTTCTGTTAACTCTCTGTTTCTCTAATCTTCATTCAGGACCCAAGAATGAAAAGGCTTTGGGCCAGAAAATAAACTCCTGGGAGTCATCAAGGAAAGGACTTTCATTCCTGAACAATTTGCACTTGAGGAATGGAGAACTGGTTATCCACCAAACAGGGTTTTATTACATCTATTCCCAAACATACTTTCGATTTCAGGAAATTGAGGAAATTGTGGGAACAATTTCAGAAGAGAACAGAAAGAAAAACAAACAGATGGTACAATATATTTACAAATACACAAGTTATCCTGACCCTATACTGCTGATGAAAAGTGCTAGGAATAGTTGTTGGTCTAAAGATTCGGAGTATGGACTCTATTCCATCTATCAAGGGGGAATATTTGAGCTTAAGGAAAATGACAGAATTTTTGTTTCTGTAACTAATGAGAAGTTAATAGACATGGACCAAGAAGCCAGTTTTTTCGGGGCCTTCTTAGTTGGCTAAGTGATCTGCAAAGAAAAAGCAATAACTTCAAAGTGACCCTTTTTCAGGATGATATGAAGATGTTCCAAAAAATCTGACCGAAAAAAGGCAACCTGAATGGAGCAGCAGAAATCAGGGCATTTGGTCTCCTGTGAACAGGAAAAGAAATGGGAAAGTGGAAATGACAAACACAGGCCAATCAGCAGAAAAGAGCCAGATAACTCCCAACCCTGACCCCGTGCTGTCAAATATCAACATCTGATATACTGTATTTCTGCATAACTGCCTAAGATTGCATCATTTATTGTGACTCTGCCTGAAGAACATTAATTACTTTTATCATCCAAAATCATGACACAAAACATTTTATTTCATCATTTAAACTAACCAGTTGGTGAAAAAATTAATTGGAGCATTTGTCTAATCTACTCAAATTGCTATTCCTAAACACAGCAAAATTTATACTCTTTGGTTGGATGCTCAAACATTGCTTTAAATATGTTCTAATGAAATAGCTCTCTTTCTTTTTTTAAAAACGTTGTGGGGCTTTTTTTTGTTGTTTGTTTTTGAGAAGAGTCTCACTCTGTTACCCTGGCTAGAGTGCCATAGCATCAGCCTAGCTCACAGTAACCTCAAACTCCTGGGCTCAAACCTCCCGAGTAGCTGGGACCACAGGCATGTGCCACCATGCCCAGTTATTTTTTTTATTTTATTTTATTTTTTTAGTAGAGATGAGGTCTCACTCTTGCCCAGGCTTGTCTCAAACTCTTGACCGCAAGCAATTCTCCCTCCTTGGCCTCCCAGAGTGCTAGGATTACAGGCGTGAGCCACCACACCTGGCCAATAGCTCTTTTTCAAAAGAGCTAATTTTTATTTACAACATACTACAGACATGTGGCACTTCTGACCCTTCTTACTTTAGTGTCTCCATAGCACCAATCAATTATGAAATTGATTTATTTGTTATCTTGTTTTTGAAAACTTCTCTCCTCTCAATAGAATATAGTCATCTCTTGGTATCCACAAAGAACTGGTTCCAGGACCCCCCGCTTCCTACCAAAATCCACAGTTGCTCAAGTCCCTTAAATAAAATGGTGTAGTATTTGCATATACCATGTTTTCCCGAAAATAAGACCTACCCATAAAATAAGCCCTAGCAGGATTTCTAAGCATTTGCACAATATAAACCCTAACCCAAAAATGAGACCTAGTGATGGGCGTGGCTATGAAGCTATCTGCACAACCCATGCATTTCATCACGGAGCAGTAAAGAAGACAGCAGCCCTTCTCATGTGCCCCATGAGAGCTCTATTGCTCGACATGAGAGATTGAGGCCAATGGTTCTAAATGAAATAGAGTCGCAAGAATTCAGGATGGAATTCGGGGTTTGGAGAGTTATGATGATGTTCCAGAAGAAGATGACTTAACTATATTTGAATAAATGTAGATTGTTGTACCATACTTAAAAAAAAACAACACATCCCCTGAAAATAAGCCCTAGGGTATCTTCTTGTCTCTGAAAAATAAATATAAGACCCTGTCTTATTTTCGAGGAAACATGGTAATATACACACATCTTCTCATATACTTTAAATCATCTCTAGACTACTTGTAATACCAAATATAATGTAAATGCTATGTAAATAATTATCATATTGTATTTTTAATTTGTATTGTTTTTGTATTATTATTTTTAATTTTTTCCAAATATTTTTGATCTATGGTTGGTTGAATCTGTGAATGTGTTACCCAAAGATACAGAGGGCTAATGTGTAAGCATTGTGGTATCAGGGAACATTTAATCTTGTTTATACCTGTATCCCCAGTACTTGGAACAATACCCAAATATGTTTTGTGGGGGTATTATGTGTGGGTACTAGCGTGGTACTATGTATGGTTACCCACACAAAATATATTTGTGAATATGTGGATGACTGACTGACTGACTGAATTAACGAATATTTAACCATATGGAAAACATAGGGAAGTATTTCCCACCTTACCCCTTACAGCAAAATAACATCAGAGAATTCTAAAAGTTCGAAGTGGAGAAGACCTTTTAATCCAAGATTTAAAACTAGAAGAAAAAGATGGACATTTTTGATAACATATAGCATGGGGATAGGAAAGAGAATTCATTTTTGTACTAAAATTTTGAAGTATGCATTACTTTTTCAATAAAGTGACATTATGCTGATGTATGTCATTTTTGTTTTAGTGTTCACATTTGTTTTATATTGTCAAGATTACTAAAAATGGGGGAAAGGACTTATCTTTTTTCATGATATATTTTATTTGACACATCTTACAGAAGAAATAAGTTGCTCGCTTTTATTTAATATGATCAAATGTATCAATCCTTTTCTCTATGGTTAGTGCTTTGGTTATGGGTTGAATTATATCCCCAGAAAAGACATATTAAAGTCTTACTCTCCAGTACCTCAGAATGTAATCTTATTTGAAAATGGGGTCATTGTGAATGTAATTAGTTAAGATGTAGTTACAGTGGAATAGAGTGGGCCCTTAATACAATATGACTGGTGTCCTTATAAGAAAAGGGAAATGTGACTGCAGAGACACACAGGGAGAACACTAGAGAAAACAGACGCAGAGAAGGGAGTGTTGCATCTGCAAGCAAAGTAAGACGAAGAATTGATGGCATCATCAGAATCTAGGAAGAAACAAGGAAGGACTGATTCTATCCAGATTCTCAGAAGAGGCATGGTGCTGCTGACACCTTAATTTCAGACTTCTGGGCTCCAGAACTGTAACACATTTCTGTTGTTGAAAGCCATCTAGTTTGTGACACTTTGCTCCGGCAGCCATAGGATGCTAATATAGCTTTCCATATCTTGTTCAAGAGACCTCTTCCAGGAAATAGCAGAGGATGTAAACAGGTAGAAAACCATACCATGCTCATGGGTTGGCAGAATCAACATTGTTAAAATGTCTATATTACCCAAAGTGATCTACAGATTCAATGCAATCCCCATTAAAATACCAACATCATTTTTCACAAATATAGAAAAGATAATTTTACTCTTTGCATGGAACCAGAGAAGACCCCATATGGCAAAAGCAATCCTAGGCAATAAAAACAAAATAGGAGGTAACAATTTACCCGACTTCAAACTATACCACAAGGTTATAGTAATTAAAACAGGTTTGTTCTGGTACAAGAACAGGGACATTGACCAGTGGAGCAGAACCGAGAACCCAGATATGAAACAATCCTCATATAGCCATCTAATATTTGACAAAGCAGACAAAAACATACACTGGGGAAAAGAATGCTTATTCAGTAAATGGTACTGGGAAAACTGGATAGCCACATGTATAAGACTGAAACAGGATCCACACCTTTCACCTCTCACAAAAATCAACTCACGCTGGGTAACAGACTTGAACCTAAGGTGTGAAACTGTTAGAATTCTAGAGGAAAACATTGGAAATACTCTTTTAGACATTGGCCTAGGCAAAGAATTCATGAAAAAGACCCCAAGGGCAATCACAGCATCAATAGAAATAAATAAATGGGACCTGATCAAATTAAAAAGCTTCTGCAGAGCCAAAGAAACTGTCACCAGAGCAAACAGACAACCTACAGAATGAGAGAAAATTTTCACATTGCTACACATCCAATAAAGGGCTGATAACTAGAATCTATTTAGAACTCAGGAAAATCAGCAAGAAAAAATCAAACAACCCTATCAAAAGTGGGCAAAGGACATGAACAGAAACTTTTCAAAAGAAGACAGAATAATGGCCAACAAACATATGAAACAATGCTCAATATCTCTAATCATCAGGGAAATCAAAACCACAATGAGATATCACTTATCTCCAGTGAGAATGGCCTTTATCAAAAAGTCCGAAAACAATAGATGTCGGCATAGATGCAGAGAGAGAGGAACACTCCTACACTGCTGGTGGGACTGCAAACTAGTTCAACCTCTGTGGAAAGCAATATGCAGATACCTTAAAGCGATACAAGTAGATTTACCATTTGATCCAGCAATCCCATTACTGGGCATCTACCCAAAAGAACAAAAGACATTCTATAAAAAAAAATCTGTACTTGAATGTTTATAGCACAATTCACAATTGCAAAGATGTGGAAACAACCCAAGTGCCCATCAATACATGAGTGGATTAATAAAATGTGGTATATGTATACCATGGAGTACTATTCAGCTATAAGAAACAAAGGTGATATAGCACCTCTTGTATTTTCCTGGATAGAGCTGGAACCCATTCTACTAAGTGAAGTATCCCAAGAATGGAAAAATAAGCACCACATGTACTCACCAGCAAATTGGTTTCACTGATCAACACCTTAGTGCACATAAAGGAATAACATTTATTGGGAGTCGGGCAGATGGCAGGAGGGAGGAGGGATGGGCATACACATACATAGTGAGTGCAATGTGCACCATCTGGGGATGGACACACTTGAAGCTCTGACTGGGGGGGGGAGGGGCAACAGCAACATACATAACCTAAACATATGTACCCCCATAATATGCAGAAATAAAAAAATCTTCCACTGATAATCATAAAGGTATCATTATATTTTTTTCTAAATGCTTTAAAGTTTGGCCTTCATAGTTTGATGGTGCCATTCAATTGTAATTTAACACATTTACTGCCATGAGGATTAGCCCACTCTAGTTTTCACCCCGAGGCTGTATGAAGCATATATAAAATCTTACTTGTTGATGTCCTTATTGTTACAATTAATATTGACATTTAATTCCAAAAACATGGATTAAATGAATAGAAGTCAATAAATTTCATTTTTGTATTCATGTTTAGCTTTAAATTACACTTGAAGCTTTTATTATATTTTTGTAATAAAACACTGTGGCCCCAAGAAAAAGTTTATTTCTTTTGTCTGGCGGTCAATGTGTCACTTTGTGTGTGATGTGATCTAGGAATCTAATTTTATCTTTTACCATATAAATAGCCTATTGTCCAACACTGTTTATTGGATGGTCCACCCTTTTCCTCGCTGATTTTGATGTCTCTTCTAACGTATACCTAGTTCCCACAGTTCTGTTTCTATGTTCATTTTTCCCCTAGTTGATCTATTTGTTCATTCTTGCAC